AAAAAAATCCCATTTTGGGCCCTCCCTGGTGGTGCAGCTGGTTAGGATGCAGCACTGCGAGTCATTGCCACTTCAGTTCAAGTTCAATCCCCTGTGCCTGAGGTGACCCACATAGTATAGCAGACCTCTCCTGACCCGCCCACTGCTCTCTTCAGCAATGTACTTCCTTGATCTGCCTGTTCTGCTCCCCACTCAGTCTGTCTCTGGAATCTCTCCCCGCCTCTGACCCTCTGGCCTTTACCCCAGTTTGGTATGCATACATAATTTTTTAAAAAATCCAATTTTACCAATCATGTAAAATTCAATAATCATGATAAAGACTTAAAAACTGAAATTCTGCCATTTATGATAATGGGTGGGCGACCTTGAAAGGACTATACTAAGTGAAATGTTAGATTGAGAAAGACAAGTATCGGGGGAAAAAAGTCTGACTTCACTCATAAATTGAAGACAAAAGAAAATGAACAAAAACAAATCCTTAAGATTCAGACAACAAAATGGTTACCAGGGGGAAGTGTGATGGGGAATTGGGATCAATCACACAATGGTGGATGGAGAAGACCCTATGCCCCCCCCATCCAATGTGTAAAGTTGCTGATGTGTAAAGCTGTACTGGAAAAATTTCCCAGATTTACAAAGTTGTAAACTAATGCTAATACAGTAGACTTTTAAAATTGTAATACCTAATGTTGCCCTAAGAATAAACGGTTGTGGTCAAAACTAGGAATCTTGAGTACCACAGCAACTAGTCACAGCTTTTAAGTTTACCCATGGGAAGGTTAATTATAAGGACAGGTGAAATCCCTACAAACAGTTCACTTAACAATGCTCTTCCTTGACAATGGAGATTCCCTATCAGGACAGTTCCACTAACCTTTAAGAAATTTGACTACTTATGGGGGCTCCCTGGAGGCACAAGGGGTTAAGTCTCAGCCATGAAGCCATCCTCAACTACTGCAGGAGTTCAATCCCAGATCTCCAGCCAGGGAGCTGACCCACATGGCACAGCAGACCTCCCCAGTCTCAACCACTGCTCCCCTCAGCAGCCAGTTATGGTTATGTGCCCAATGATGGCATATATCGTACAGTAAATATACAAGAGTTCATGTAAGTTTCAAATGCCTTGAGTAAAACAGTTGAAAGATACATGTATAATCATGCATTTCTACTATATCACTTGCTCATCATGCAGAAAGCGGAGATGTAATTTTCCAAATAAATTTACTAGCATGACTTTCACAACTAAAAATAACACTCAGGTCCTGACAATCTCTTAATCAAATAAAATGGTACTTGATTGGGTTGTGAGCAAAAAACACGCTAGGTTTGAGTCCAGGTTGATCTGGACTCAATAAACTTTCTATCCCCATAGTGATACCTGATACTCACCCACTAGCAAGACGTCAGTTTTAACAGAAAGGGAAGAAAAGGGCTCAAAAGACATTTCACTGAAGATGGAGGCCAGCAGCCAAGTTAGCACTACATCACTGTGAAAATACAACTCAAAACCATGTTAAGATTTCACTTCACTCCAGTTGAGGCGGCCATTATCAAAGCAATGTCGGAATATGTGGAAAAAAGGGTCTTTGATCAATCGGTTGGAATATAAACGGTCTACTCAAAACAGTATGGTGGCTCAAAATGCCAAATAAACTGCCATAGAATGCAGAATCTGATTTCTGCATTTACCTTAATATGACACATATATATATATATATCCTTATGTTCATCCCAGCACTGTCCACAACCCAAGACAAGGAAACCCAGTGGTTTAAGTATGAATTAACAAAGGATGTGGTACACACAACTGTTCAGTATAGAAATTTTATCTCACCATCTCTGACAACACAGATGAACCCCCCCCAAAGGGTTATGCTATGCATGTCACTAGACACAATTTTTGATTACTCATTTGTGGAAAAACAATGCTTGAGACAAACAGAATGGTGGGTAACCAGGGGAAGGGATGACGGGGAGTTGGTTTGGTTGGTGGTAGATGAGCCTTTGGTGGTTGGTGTGGTGAGAAAACGTTACCTTGGAAGCTGATGTGTGGACTGTTTTTTCTTTAAAGTTCACTGGCACAATGTCTGGCAACTGGGTATGAACAAGAGTGGGGCAAAATGCCCACTTCCTTCCCTGACTACTCCCAATGGTGTCCACTGAAGCTTCAAGCACCCTAAGAAGCTGAATTCTTGGCTCTCCAAACCTATGTACTTCACTCAACTTAAAGGGGCAGCCTCTTAACTCCTGACACTAAACGCACATTTCACATCAAATGGACTGCTTTCTAGTACCAATGGAAAAGTTGACCAGCCCTGTCAATTCAGTAAACTTGTCTCCAGTACAACCGAGACAGCTAGCTGGGTACAAGGCAGTTATTTTATCAGTGTAGACACTTCCTGCTTCCTGTCAATGTTAAATGTTATCCTACACCTTGTGTATTTCAAGTAAAGCCAAAGTAAACAAATCAACTTGTCCTAGATTTATCCCTAAATCCTAATGGTTACTCAATTTGCTTATCTCCTATACTTTTTATCAGCTCAGAATTTTTTTTAGCCTTCCTTTATCAGTGAACTTTTCGTTCCCATCACCATACGACTCAAAATTCACCTATTTTACATGCTAAAGGGTTTTTCAAAAGGCTCAACCAAAATTACACCCCAAATATTGAGCTGTTGTACTCCCTCCATTGCTACATCAGACTATGTGGGTGATGTGTGAAACAAAAAGAATGACAACATTCCAATCTGTTTATTTGTAATGACTTATTGGAAATTTTAACAAGGGTGGTTTCATCTAAACTAAAAAATAAATTTTATTATAAAAAGAAATCCTAGTGGCGGTCAGCTGGTATGGGGTCATCTCCACCTGCTTAAGATTAATAAAAGGAACTTAGAATTTCCTAGGAATTCTTTTCAGAATTTTTATGCACATTAAGAACTGTGGGGGTGGGAGAGTGAGAATATTCAGAGACAGCAGAGAACGTTAACAAGCAGATTGACTAAAATACACTGCTGAGGGGAGCAGCAGGCGGGTCAGGAGAGGTCTGCCAGGCCATGAGTCACCTCCCAGTCAGTGTTGTGCTTTCATCCCTTGTGCCACCAGAAGAGGGCCCTCCTGGAGTTGTTCTTAAAAAGAAAATTCTTTCAAAATAGTTTTAGTAACTAATTTCTAAATAGTCAATACAAGTAGCAAAAGACCCAGTTTTAAAGGCAGCATTATAAAAGCATTAAGCAATATAAGCAATTTTCTCCCTTGGTACACTTCAAGTTTTGGGACTTGTCAGCAAATTACTACTAAAAGTTCCTAACCTGTCCCAAATGAAATCTAAAGTATACTTCACAGGTGTCCATAAGTGACTAAGACATTAAAGAGAAAAGTAAAATCACCTACAGATACTTACTTTTCTGGAAGGCTTAACTTTGCTTTGGAATTATTCTCCATCTCAGGAAAATGTATCAGGATTTCCAGATCTTCAAAAACTCAATATACACATGTACATGTCATAAAGGCACTAACTGGCCTTAAGACTTGCATTAACAAATCATGATTATACTAGGTTTTGTCAAAAAAAATCTCAAAACCCTATGTGTACTACAATGGCATTCTTAAATATCCAGTGAATCTAATAAGGTGAAGAAAACGCAGACATGTAAAATCTAATTCAACACTATCCATTCTTGATAAAAATATACTTCAACCCAGTTTTTCTTCAGCTGCTTTAATTATAAAAATCTGTCATGTTCTCAAAAAAAGAAAATCCAGAAGGCAGCAGTCTAATACAAAAATATACAACTGGAAGACATTACCAACTTGTTCTGACAACTAAGTCATGTTTAAAATTGTGAAAATAAAAGCACATTAAGACAAATTACTAATACCAGTGCCTCTTATGTAACCAGGATTTTAACACCCAGAAAGAACTCTTTCAAATAACACAACTCTGTATCACTCTAATAAGCTTGAGTCAAACATCTGCAAAAAAGGTTGTGTAGATTTGAGAAATCTCTATGACCAATCCCATTACTGTAAAGTAGCACTGTGCTAAATAAATCCGAACTTCTACAACAAAATGAAACTTTCCATTCAGATGAGTTAATCTAAACTAAAAGGGGAGGGTGGCGAGACTGTCTACAAACCTCATGATCTTAAAAGAATGGTAAAAAAGTTTATCAAAGTGGTAAAATAATCTATCTTAACTTGCTTACAACATGGAAGTAAAAAGTAACTTTGAAGTATAGATCAGGGTATTCTTTGAAAAGTATAAAAAAAAATAGTATCTGTTTCTCACCAGGTATAAAATGGTGATTCACAAGTGAACATCATAATTCATTACACTGATAGTATTCCTGTCACTTTTTCAGTTACCATTCAACTCACAGGCTCCTTGAATAGATTTGCTAATGGGCTTTTAAAATTTTAGATGTGGTGACTTCCAATTTTAAGTCAAAAATTGAAATGTTCAAACAATTTCGACCTTTTTACAAAACCAGAAAATTGAGCTAGGGCAGATTATAAATTATTGCAAATTCAGATGCTTTATTAGATTAAAACCTGCGGTCCAGAGCTCTATAGAGTATCCTGTCCTTTTTACAGAAACCCTTCTAATTTAAGACTACAGAATTTACTGCTGAACTGCCCATTTCTAAGAACAGTGTAATTATTCATGCCCATGACTTCTCAGCTATCTTGTACCTTGTTCCTAGCAGTAATAGTTTTAGGATAAGAAAATGCCAAAAGACAAGGGGCCCAAAGCCAGAGCTCCCAATTAATCAACAGGTAGTGTCCTCCTCTAACAAGACTCATAAATGAATCTTACTGATACCAATGGTTTTTCTCTCACTGGTATTTGCATGAAAGATTAAGGACCATTGTCAAGGACCTACATTATAAAATATCCTTATAGACTGAATCAATGCAATGACTTATCTCCCGCATTAAAGACAAAGTGAGGACAGCATAACCCAAAACTAAATGTTTTAAGGAAACTAAGCCACAAGACTGTTGCATTACAATTTAATCTAATTGCACAAAATTTAAAATTACAACTCCTCTGATTTCTAAGAGGAAAGTTATACATGCCTCCATATTCAATTCTGCACTATTACATTTTAACCATAGTGACTTTACATGATGGATCAGTTTAGAATTCCCATGCAACACCTCAAATTATATAAAATGGAAGCAACTTTAAAGCTTTGTTCTCATGCTAATGATAAAAGCCTTTTTTTATGGGCAACTTTGGATCACAATGTACCAGGTTTCTGTAACTTTAAAAAGTTGGTCACTAAGTATACCACAGACTTTGAACTGGCTTCTTTTAAATTTAAGTACTAATGATCATTTCGGTAACACCAGTAATTTCCTATACTTGAAGCTTCTCATTGTGTTTCTTGTATCTGTGTAACCAACTGCTTTCCAAGGGACAAGAAGTACGGTAATAGTGGGTTCAACTATTACACAATTATGCTAATATTTTATTAATTCAAAAGCACTTTACAAGAAAATATAAGTATGGCTTCCAATAGGAATGTTATATACCTGGACTTGGTACCAAGCTCACAGATTTTAGTTTGGAAAGGAAAAACAGGCTTTCAAGTTAAACAACAATTTGTAACCAAAACTTTAATCCCAAGGATTCTCACAAAACATATTACAAATGACAGCATGAAAAAAAATCTTGCACAGTAACTTAAAAGTTCAGCTCTACAATGTACCCTTAAACTGGCAGGAGATTAGGATCTTGAATCGTCTCAAACTTCCAAATAAAGAATGTTATCAAAGAGCTATGCATTGATACACAGCAACTACATAAGGAACTTGTGACTGAAAGTAAAAGTAAACTAGTTTTCTTGAAATTTAAGATTCTATGCCAACTGGGCTGGGCATTCTCTACCCAGTGCTTAAGACTAGTTGGAGTTAAAACAGAACAGAAAGACCTCTAATCTAGCTTTATGGTGCAGCTTTTATTTTTACCTACTGACTTGTATTCATAGCAGCTTTTAAACACTGGTTGGTTCAACTATAGCTGCATACTATCCTAGTTATGGGAAAAGTCTTGGTTCAATTTTTGCCAGTTGTTTCCATAATATCAATCATACTTTATAGGCTAGGCAAAATTTAGAGATTTATTATTAGTCTATGCAAGACTAAAAGTTCAAAACAAATTCAATTTTGCTTAAGGGAACATTGTAAAGTAACAATTCTTGATATTACATGCCTCATATGATCCATTTCAAACTATGGAAAATTATACCTTTTATGTGTCACTGTCCCAAGAAACAAATGTGAACAGCTAAAACATCTTAAAAATGCACCAAGCTTATGAAGTCTCAAACAAAACTTGAATTTTCTGTACATACTCCTGTCAAATGAAGTTATTTCCTGTACACCACTCTTCTTGCAAACTGGTCTTCTATTTTCTTTCATTTGACCTAGATCGGCTAAAAAAAAAAAAAAAGGGACAAAGTTACACCTGTAACTCAACAACAAAGATTTCGATAGCAAAGTTCTAATACTATCAAAATGGCAACAAAGACCTCACTGTATATTTTTTAATGGCTCCATCATTAAAATTCTTACCTACGAGACCTAGAGAAGGATCGGGATGGCTTGTGATTTCTCTCCCGAGACAGTGATCTCTCTCTTCTCCTATCTCGAGAAAGGGACCTAAACCAGAGAGGAAAGGAAATGAGGGCGAATCAAGATTATACTAAAAAATGTAGTCTTTAGAGGCTTTGAAAATAAAAATGTTAACACAGGCGCTATATACCAAGACTTGTTACTAAAGTCTGAATCCATTAGCTAACCTAGTTATCTTGAAATAGCATTTCCGAGAATATGGCAAACAAGGTATTTCTTTACCTGCTCCGACTGCGGGAGAAGCTTCTCCGTCTTGGAGATCTAAAAGCAGAAATAGGAAAATTAGGCTAACTGTCAGTTAGTACTTATGGTGTGAGGCATTTCCCAACTTTTCAATCTCACTGTTGGGCCCAGTGAATGTGCCGAAGAACTGGCACCCATCGTCAAAAAAAAAAAAAAAGTAAAGAAAAAAAGGCACAGAAGGATTAAGGAACCAAAAGCTCAAGTGAAAAAAGCAGGTATTCCAACCATGGATTCACTTTAACAAAGAATGCTTCACAGCAGGTCTGTCCAATGCAAAACTTCCATGTCAAACTAACTTCACTACCCAAACACCACACCAAAATGTAGTCCCACAAGTAGTTCCAAAAACAGTACCGTAAACCAGTATTTGGAACCCATGCAAACCTATAGTAAGTCCATGACAAGACTTAAGGTACCACAGGTGGATAGTGTCATTTTGTGAAAACGCGCTAGGTGTAAATATTGATGCCATTAAGTGCTACATTAGAACTGCATTTGTGATCGTCACAATTTAAGAGTGTGTTTAGGCTTATCAAAATTACCTTAGCTTTGGCCCACTTTATCCCCAAATTTAAAAAAATTTGAAAACTGTTAGTAAAACCATTTAAAGGTGATAGGATTCAACAAAATTTTTGCTAGAAAGAAAAGCTAAACTGTTAGAGTTATTAAAATTTTTAGTTTGGCATCTCACACATGCAAATAAGTTCCACTTGAAGGTCTAGTTACATTATGAGTTCCCTATCACCCTTAAAAGTTTTATTCAAGCAATATATATGTACGTTACCATTCAATTATGCACAGCCAGCCTTTGATCCAGAAAAAAGAATTACTTTAAGCCGCTTACTCCTTATTTTAACCAGCAGTAAACTGTATAAGCAGGAAAAACTTACTAGTTTTGGGTTTCAACAAGCTAGAAATGGTGAGGTGAGGCTGCCGGACTGACGGCCAGGAAGAATTTGCTGAAAAGGTTTTGCCAGATGTTGCGTTGGATTTAGTTGGTTGGCGAAGGGGGTGTTGTGGATTTTTCCTGCTTTTTTGTTAGCCGAAGGCTGCTGCTGTAGTTGTTGTGAAGACATTTGGTAAATAAACAGCTGAGCTGATTGGCCAGGAATGTGTGGGCGGTCGAGGTGGCTGCTGCCGATTTGGTTAAGGTTGGAGAGAAGGCTGAGAGAAAACAGCATGCTCGGGAACCAAAGGGCGGTGCAACCTGACGACTGGCCATGCCTGGGTCATGTGAAACGACACCAGCCAAGCTGAATGGGGCGCGCTGGTCACATGACGCTGAAAGGGCTAGTTGACTGGCTAATGCAGACTCAGAGGGTGGTGAGAAGAGACATGATGGTGACTCTGTAACGGGGTTCATTTTTATTAATAGATGGACCAAAAAGCACAAAAAAAATGAAAAAAACAAGCCATCAGTACAACCATCTATTAGCTAACAAATACTCTTTATTATGATGGGCAACAGCGTGTTTTTGTTTTTCAAAATAGTAAAAGGGGCAAGATTTTGAACTCCTATCTCCTAGGACTTCACTCACCTGTAAGGTAAATTCAGTCCTACAGAATTATTTTGGAGTTTGAGGAGATGTGGAGTCAGCATCCAGACAATACTGCCTGGTCCAAGAATGATGCCATTTCAATTATAAAAAAACTGAATTCTCTCCTATTTGGGTTTGAAGAACAGATGACTGGGATTACTTTTTTTAGCCCCCTTTATGGTCAGTGACTTAAGTCAGTTTCAGAATGATTTCTACTTTAACATTTCTGTTGTAACATTAAAACAGCTGCCTATTTGGTCAATATTACAATCGTGCTAATAGTAGAAAATACATTTTTGTGAAGAGCTAGAGTTGAATGTATTGTTTGTCATTATGGAGTCAAGAAATGGAAAAAGGCCTAAATTGAAGTATAAGGGAAGACTCGGAAAGATGCAACTAGAAGATGAACTAGAAGATAGATCCAAGATAGAAGTAACTGACTACCAACATGAACAGTGACCTAAAGACAAAAGCCAACACTCAGCACAACTCACATACCCCAAACTACACCCAGCAAAATGTTTCCTAAAAAACCTCATCACTTTAAGTTTAAAAACCCACCAAAACAAACTTTAGAGAAATACCTGCTCCCATTAGCTACTCCATTTATACCAATACCTCTAAACACGCTCTCTCTCAAGTACCTGCGGCGAGGTGGAGGACTCCTCCTCCGATAATCATCTCGAGGGCGACGACCCCAAGAAGGAGGTGGACCACGATTTCTACTTCTCTTTTCACCATTTGACAGTTCCACCCTTACTCGGCAGCCACACAGTGTTCTAAGAGAAAAAGACATTACATCTGTAGCAATCAAACAGCTTTCGAAAAGAGTATGCTAAAGCAAAAAACAGGCACTAGTTAAGTTGGCTTCTCTGCAGAGCACACATGTAAAATCCTTGATACCAAAACAAATGTTGGTTGCCAATTTTCTTCTAGCCAGGAAAATCAACTTGTTTTATTGCTCTATTAATTATTCTGTATTTTAACTCAATATAAGTCTAACCACCCCAGATCTGTACTCAAGACTATTTCATCTATCTATATCTCCCGCAATGGGAATGAGGACCCAGCATTTATTCATCTTACTACATACAGGCAATATCGTTGGCATCCCTCCACCTCCTTCCCTTCACCCCTTTCCAAGTGAAACAAGACAGAGGCATTGTGACCATTTTACTTTATCCTCTCTCCCTTCAATCTTCATATAAGTTGACACCCGAGAACAGCAGAAAACAGTTTATCCTCTATCTCTTCACTGGTTCACAAGCAATAAATTTAGGCAAGCCGCCGGATCTGGACAGTGATTAAGAGGTACAACCCAGGAATAATTAATGCATGCTTCTGCAATCTGCTTGGATGACCTTTCATACAAGTGCTTTCCAAGATAACCCCACTCCCCCCAGAAATTGAATAAGGATTAAATTTCCTTTGGTTTCATGAAATCCAATGTCTTGCAAATGTCAGACTCAGATGTTATTTATCAGCCAGCAGAACACAACAAAACAAAAAAAAAATCACTATAGACCCCCAACTTTCTACTAATCAAATACTTATCAATGCGGGAGATTTAAAATGTTTCAGTCATGTTTTGGATGCAACTACCCACCCAATGTTAATTTAAAGCCCACCCAAAAAACAGACCACAAAACGTAAGTAACTTCACTAACACATTATTCAGTTCTTTAGTTTGCCTACAAGTAAGACTTAGGTAAATATCTAGTGTCATTTAGTTTAGATTGTAAGTTTTTAAAAAACTATATACAAAAATATTTAACAACCGTGATATATTGGGCCTCCCTGGTGGCACAAGGAGTTAAAGAGCAGCACTATGAAGCTACCTTGGTTAGGGAGGACATGGCACAACAGACCTCTGTCTTGCCCCCTGCTCTCCTCAGCAGTGTATTTCAGAAGATGTGCCTGTTCTGCTCCCCACTCTCTGGTAAATCCTCTCACCCCCCCCCCCGCCTATGCCCCAGTTCTTTAATGCATAAATAAATCTTTTTCAAACACTACAACATATTTACATTATAAATTAATTTAATTACCTCCCATCTAGCTCTCGGACAGCATCAGCTGCATCACGAGGATCTTCAAATTCAACAAAAGCAAAGCCGGGAGGATTTCTAGCAACCCACACACTTCGGAGTGGTCCATAATAGCCAAATGCTCGCTCCAATTCAGTTTTGTTACCATTGTTTCCAAGATTACCTACATAAACCTTACAGTCCAAGGGACAGGAATCACGATGCATTTCTGTAACAAAAAATACCCCAAATATTAAATCATTTACCTGAACCATCAATAAGGAATGAGATAACCTTAGTAGATGTAGAAAACCAAAGTGTAAGAAATATTAAGCCCAAAACACCCCATTCACTCATGATTACTGGTAGCCACAAGAAACCAGCACAAACTGTTTCGTGTATGTGGGATACCTGTTTAAGTGAGGTGGAAAATCCCCAGGGAATGTTAGAATCTGAACTATTTCCAAAATATTTATAGGAGAATTACTTGCTAAGAAACAAACCCTGGAGGCTCAAAAGACCAAATGCAACCATTTAACAGTCGACTCTGGGAATGAATTAACATTCTGGGACTCCAAACATATGCCTAGAAAAGGGCATGCTAGCTCTTCTTGAAAAAGCTTTAATAGTGATTTAGTGGAGCCTTGGGCCCCTTTCCCCCACCTTCCGGTTTTCTACTTCTCCTTGGCAAACAGAGCCTGGAGAACTGTAGTAACCAGCATCACTCCTTAAGCAACAAAACAAAGTGGGATTTCAAGTATGTTCCTAATACAAGAGTATTATCAATAGCCGAAGTGTCCACCCAAATGTCCATCAAGTCAACTGGTGAAGCAAAATTACCCACAATACTAGTCATGGATAGAGTACTAACCAAAGGACCAAATGGGTCTGTACCTTGAAATGCTGACATAGACACAAGATGTCTATCTTAGGATCCCAAATATAAGAAAACACCCAAAACACGCAAATCTAGATAGATTTATGTTTACAAGTGGCTGATTGGGGAGGAGGGTCGGGTTGGTAAGGAAAGCCTGAAAATCGGTACTGGTCTCAGTGGTTAAAAAAAAAAAGTTTGGAACTAGAGAGGTGACGGTTACACCGTGGTTGTGCTAAATACTACTTAAACTACTTTCGAAATGCACGGTATGTTAATTTCACCTCGGCCCCCCAAAAAAAGTTCAGAAATTTGACACCCAAGGATTTTACTGCATTTTCGTGGTTTACATTTAATAAACTTAAATACTTAACGTCATCTCAGTGATGCACCTAATCAGCTTGTAGACCAGTTTCAAATGCATAAAAAGAGCGGCCAGTTAAATCTGATGGCCGTTCGAAAACACCACATTCTTCTCACTCTGGGCTTATGCGAATAAAAAAACCAGTCCAAACACATTCTCTTTTCGTTGACCCCACCCTATGCCCAAGAGTCCATTGGTTTTTAAAAACTTTGCCGTGACTACGTATTAATAATGGGAGGTAGCTCCAAGAACAATGCAGCTCAAGGCAGATCATTTTTAGTTTGGGGAAAAAAATGGTTTCGGGCTTTAAAAAAAAATCAAATTCAAATAACATGAAAATAAAGGTGAACACAGAAATGACTTAATATAGATTGAAGGGTCCAATCTTGATTAATGACTCGAGGGGAAAAAAATCCTGAAACGCTTCCTAAAAAAACGTGAAGCGCCAAAAAAAAAAAAAAAGGCGCCATAAGTTGCAAGGCCGCGCGCGGCCTGGGGTCCAATTCACCTGCTGGCTCCCCCTTCTCCGTAACTCCCGAGTAACCCCATTTACCCCCCCCACCCGAGAAGGTCCTGTTCCCCTCCATTTCAACCCCACAGAACCTCCTCTGAAGGGTTGGGAGCCCCCGCCACCGCCCCGTGCTGAACGTCACAAAATGGCGGCGGCGCCTCTTTGTCTCAACCTGGCGCCGCCATTGGGCCTGGCCCCACGTTAGCTGTTAGGTTCCAACGCCCACCGCCCTCTTTTCGTCGCCCGTCTCTTACCGAGATCTTGGGTTAGAAATGCGGAGGCTCAAATCCACACACCTTCTAGTGGATCTTCCCGCCCCAGACCCGCGGATGCTTTCGCTGACCCGGCGTCCACGAAATGGCGGACCACCGCCTTCCCCTCGCCCGGTTTTATATGCCGTGATCCAGTCACGTGATTGGACGGGCTTCGCCAATGAGAAGCGGCGAGGGCCGTGACGTAGAGGCTACAAACGCCCGCGGTTGCTGGGAGCGCGCTGGGGCGGTGCTGGTGCCGGGTCTGAAGAGACGCGCGCAATCGCGCGTTAGTCGCCTGAGGCCTGGAACTCTAACCCGTGTTGTTTGCCGTTTGTGGACTTCCGAATAATCTCCAGTCCCCTCTCTCTCATCTCCAAATAGATTGGGGGTTTTATTAATACCGTCGCCGTCACTCTCAAACACTGATAAAGCAAGTTGTTCCTAAAAGATGCATTTATTGGGTGAATTCGTTAATTAAATGATCATTTTGAACGGTTAGGCTGGAACTAAGATCATGGCGTTTGCAAACAGGCTTCCGAGTTGTTTCCGAAGTCACGGATCTGCCTGGGACTGAGCTGCCACTGGATTGCGCCCGCCCAGACCCCACACTTAGGAAAGGACCGGTCCGGGAGAGCCCGCTAAACCCAGGCTGCTTTCCCGCCTCTCTCCGAACTGCAGGATTTGGCAGAGCTGCTAGAGTCGATGGCGTCATCTGCCTGGACTTTGAAAATGTTAAATAGAAACTCAAAGGCAAATGAGACGGTCAGGCCATCTGGAAACTCGCCTTTAGCAAATAACAGCAAAAGGAAGTTTCTGAGAATTTAATTTCTGGGCTTCCAAACAAATGTCTGAAAGGGCACCTCTCGCCCTTCTCGAAAAAGCTGCAGAGGTGACTTAGTGGAGAGAAGGGGGTCCTTGGACCGCTCCACACCTTCCAGTTTTCCACCTCCCCTTGAAAAACAGTTAACTACCGGGAGAGAAATACCTCGACTGCGTTAGAAAATTCACCAAACTCTCCTCCCTGTCTGGAACTGAGTTTCACTAGGAAGTGTGTACGGTATCTCTTTCTAGAAAAGTCTGGCTATTGCTAATACTTACTCAAATGTGCTCTCAAGAAAAAAAAAAGATAATTTATATTTTCAGCCCTTATCTGGTAGATATGCTGTTTATTTACTTCTATTTTACCTCCCCCAGATCATTTCACTTGAAGCAGTATGTCTTGCTGTGGCTTTAAAAAGTTTATATGTTTTGAGGTGGGGAGAAGAAGGAGCATTCGTTTTCTCTGTTATAGGATGGGGATGTCTTATGGCACAGGGGAAAGAGAGCCAACAGGAAACTATGGTTGTTGGTTCAGGCCTTAAATGGGGTGTTTCCCAGGTGAAGGGCATGCTAGCAAACCCTTTCTCTTATTTAGTGTTTTTCTTTTCTAGCTCATTTATATGTGCCTTGATTTGCTCCCTCTTTGATTGTGTTTCTCTTTTTAATTTTATTTTCTTTTGTCAGTTTGAAGTCAGACAGCCCTGCTTCCTGAGAATTTAGTAATAAAGTTTCCCAAAAATCCCTTAACCTGTCTTAAGATGTTTCCTCTCCCTAACATGGAACAGTAGGACCAACCTGGCGGAGTTAAGTGCTGTCTCTTCCCACAGAAAATTCAGCTTTTGTCTAGTTGAAGTTGCTCCTGCCTCCCCAGGACCTGGAAACAAGCCTGGCATGCAGCAGGTGATCAGTACATATTTGTTTAATTAGAAAAAAAGGAAGGATGTTTGTAAATCACCTGGCACAATTTCTGCTCAAAAAAAAAAAAAAAAACTGCTGACTTTTTTAAAATGTGCTATTCACATCTCAGTATCCCTTTCTTTCCCACCTGTGGCCATTCACACACTTTCCACCTTTGGTAACTGCAGCCAAGTGAATTTTCCGTCTAAATTATGGAAAATCTTAACATTCCTTTAAATGTATTCAACTGCCAGCCACTCCTGTCTTGATCCTAGAGTACATGAAGTTTCAAGGGTATATATCAGAATTTCCTGGGGCAGGGAAAGGGGATCATATGCTATAGTGAACATCTCTCTCATTTAAAGTTTTATTTTATTGGGTTCTCCCTGGTGATGCAGTAGGTTAAAGCGCAGCACTATGGAGTAGCTACCTGCAGCCGCTTCAACACGACTTCAGTTCCTGGCCAGGGAGGTGACCAACGTGGTGCAGCAGACCTTTCCTGTCTTGCCTGCTGCTTCCTCCAGCAGGGTACTTCATTGAAATCTGCCTGTTCTGCTCCCTATTCTGTCTCTGGTGAATCCTTTCACTACCCCCTGTACTTCTGGCTTGTACTCCAGGTCTATAATGCATAAATAAAAAAATAATCTTAAAAATATATAAAGATTTATTTTATTTATGCATACAAGAACATGCACTTCTGGGATGCATGCCAGAGGTGTGACAGATGGGATGAAAGGGGGTTAAAAGAAACACCAGAAACAGAGTGGGAAGCAGAACAGGCAGATGAACTGAAATACACTGTTGAAGGGAGCAGTGTGCAGGCTAGGAGAGGTCTGCCAAGCCATGTGGGTCAGCTCCCTGGCCAGGGATTGAATTTGTGCTGCAGTGGCTGCAGATAGTTTCATAGTGCTGAGATGTAACCCCTTGTATCATCAGGAAGGCCCATAGTGAACATGTCTTGATTTTCTTTGGAGAATTTTCTCTCTCACAATGTTAGCAGGCAGATGGAGGGGCATCTCAGGACCCTAAGACTCCCTTTTCTACAATAATTGATACAATAATTGACTGTTACAATAATTGACCTTACTACTGTTCAGGTGTGATTGGCACCTATACCCCACCTCTTCAGGAACAGGGACATGATTTATTTATGCATATAACAGCTAGGGTACAAGCCAGAGGTGCGGGAAGAGGAATGAGAGGATTCACCAGAGACAGAGTAGGGAGCAGAACTGTCAGATGGACTGAAATACACTGCTGAGGGGAGCAGCAAGTGACACAGGAGAGGTCTGCTGTGCCATGTGGGTCAGCTCCCTGGTCAGGGATGGAACTCATGCTGCAGTGATTAAAGAAAGCTTCCTAGTGCTGCACTTTAATCCCTTGCGCCATCAGGGAGGGCCCTACATTTAGTGAATTAAATCATTCCTGCTTTAAGCCCTCCCCCAATTAATGAAGAAATGGAAGATTAATCCAATTAGAGCAGTAAACTGTTAAATCCAACACTACTGTTCAGCCAAACAAAGACAAGTATACTCACTTCCTCTGACTAGTGAGGTCCTGAACCAGGGCAGCCATTCAGGACGTGAACCCCACCCTAATGGAGGCAAGGCCCAGAGATGAGGAATAAGAAGCCCTTGAATGTCCCTATTAGGCCTGAGCCCACTTCCACCTCTGGGCTTCTCAGTCATTTGAATGTGTAGACTCCCTACCTTTTCCCCTGATTTGCCTAGACCATTTTGTGTTGTTTTTCCTGTCACTTGCAAACAGATACAAAATACAGAAATTACTCAGACAGACTTCTCACTGTCTCAGATAAGGACCGCGGTACTAAGTTATTTTCCAATTTTAAAATTCTCCCTGGTTATCAATTCACTATGTTTTTTGACTTAAGGGAGGAAAAGTACTGATGACCAGGCACTTATTTCCATGTATAACGATTAATGTTTTGAATACTGTGACTGACTTTATGTATCCATCAAGGAAAATCCAGTGAGAGCATGGAACCATACCAGTACTTCCTTAACTACTCGGTTCAGTCAAGGGTTTGACTAGAAGCAGATGGCACACTTTATAAGGGTTAATTAAAGAGGTAATTATTTACCAAGTTTCCGGCAGGGTCAAAGAAACCCACAGGGGAGGGGTGACTTCAGAGGCAGCTCTTAGGCCTGATGGGAAAGAAAGGGAGCAGGGTTACCAGCAGTAGGAAGTTACAGCTACATTTACAACCAGAACCAGTTACAGAAGACCGGCCACTGTGGTCTCAGAGAGAGGAACTGTAGCAGCCAGATTTGGGGGAAGAACAGGGTATAGTTGGGCCACTCTCTTGTTTGAAATTCCTATCTTTTGATGGCACTTTCTATTGCCAAAATGACAGAACTGAATGACAAATCTAGAGATTAATCTCCCAGTACACAGAGTAGGGCAAAGAAGACCCAAAAACTGACCTAAGGCTGTGTTATACAATATGGCAGCCACCACAGCCACTGAAGCACAGTTCGGTCCCCTGCCAAGGAGCTAACCCACATGGCGCAGCAGACCTCTTCTCAACAGTCTGTTACAGTCAGTATGACTGTTCTTCTCCCCACTCTGTCTGGTAAATCCTCTCAATGCCCGGCACCTCTGGCCTACACCCCAGTTCCTGTATGCATAAATAAATCTTTAAAAATAAATAAGTAGGGCCTTCCTTGGTGGTGCAATGGGTTAAAGGTGAGCACTCTGAGGCTATCTGCAGCCGCTGCACCACCATTTCCATCCCTGGCCAGGGAGGTGACCCACACGGCACAGCAGACCTCTCCTGACCCGCCTGCTGCTCCCCTCAGCAGTATACTTCATCAATATGCCTGTCCTGCTTCCCATTCTGTCTCTGGTAAATCCTCTCACCCCCTGCACCTCTGGCCTGTACCCCAGTTCTGTTTGCAAAAATAAAACAAGTCTTTAATAAAAATAAATAAATAAAAATAAGTAAATGAATGTTCTCACTTCCAGGCCTCCCCACATATCTCCAGAGGTTCTGCAACAATCCTCTCAGTCTTGATTTGAGGCAAAGAGAGATAACAGAGAGGTGGGGCTCCAGAAAGGAAAGGCCCCTTACTCTGGTTTCTTTCCATCTTTCCTGAGCACATCTTACTTGCTTCTGATTGCTTGCCAGCAACTTTAGAAACTACATTACAACTATGCTCATAAGTTTATTCTTCAGACAAAAACCTCCATCTTGTCTGGGGAGTTTTTCTCCTTTTTAAAAAATGTAGCATTTTTTACTGAGGTAGTACTGGTTTACACGGGCATATGATTTCCAGGTGTGGGTTCATAACTTACCCCCCTCCCCCCCATCAGCATACCCATAATCCTCTACCACAGTCCACTGGGGCCCCTGTTCCC